CGGCAGGAGGGGACGCATGGGTCACACCAGGTGGAGAGCACTGTGTCCAGGGCTGTCCGCACCGTATCTGTGGCAGTGGCGGTGTCCCACCTGCTCCTGGGGAATCCCTCACCTCTGGCATTACTGCTGGGAGACCAGAGCTGGACCCCAGCGGTAGGCACAGGACCCAGGCTGGCCAATGAGAGCCTTCGACTTCCCTGGCCAGGGTGACTGACTCAAAGATAAACCAATGAGAGACAGCCTTAGGATTTTGTACGAACTGTGAGAAAAGTCATGTTTTCTATCCATTGAGGTTGTTAAGCCAGGGTTGCTGGTGACCCCAGAGAACAACAGGCCCCCAAGGGGAAAGGAGGCCCCAAGTCCTGCAAAGGCAGTACTATGGGGCTTCTCAGTTACATGTGCCAGTTGCGTCCTTTCCTCTTCCATTAAATTAGTTTGCAGCTGCACTTCTTTGTCAGCCCTGAGGTATCAGGCCTGGGAGCAGGCTCACCTGGCCAGTAGCAAGTAGCGGCTGAGGACTCGAAGCAGGGCTCGGGTGCCTCCTCGGTGGAAGTGCAGGGCAGGCAGGGAGCCTCCGGCTTGGGTCACCAGAACCAGGTAGGCCCAGCTAAGGCCTGGCTTGGATCGGCGGATGGACTTCAGCTCCCCCAGACTCACTGAGAAGGCCCACTGAGCCCGGGGGGAGCTGGGCTCTGTACCTAGGAAGAAAGCACCAAGTCAGACACAGTTGGGAGGCCAGAGGCCACCAGTTCAAGTAGGGACACTCCACCAGCACAGCTGGCTCCAGAGGTCCCACCACAAGCCACCCCCACACACTGGCCTCTGGGAACTCGGGCCACCTCCCACGTCCTCAGAATCACAGCTGAATAAAAAGGGAAGGAACCCTGGTGGGCATGCACCTGTTCCAGACTCTTCCAGGAAGCCCATATTCCTCAATCTGGCACACAGGGCCCCTCAGGTCTGTCCCTGTCTCCCTGCCTGCCTTATCTCCAACCCTGTCTGTTCTAGACCCCAACTGAAGCCACAACAAAAGCCTGAGGGCTTCCCCACAGGTTTCTCTCTCCAGTGAGAGAAGAAAATCCCAAGAGCCAAGCTCTAGTACCACCTCTTCCTGAAAGGCCTCCTCTCTCCCCAGAGGGGTCAGCCACCTCCTCTGATGCCCCACACACTCTGTGACGCCAGGATAGCGCAAACAACCCTGTGATTGCTTCATCTGTCACCTCCAGCAGAAAGAAAACTTTCAAGAGTAGGACTCATGAGGGTGCCCAGAGCCAACCCACTCTATTCTCCTGGAAAAGAAAGGTAGTGCTAGGTGGCCATCTTGACTGTGGGCAGTAAAGCCTTTGAAGCCATGACCAAAGAGGGCAGGATGTGTCCCACTGGCCCCCAGGTGCACCAGCTCAGCCTACCTCTGGCAGGCTCTGAGTGGTGGAGCCGTGGCCGCACGGTACTGATGACAGCCCAGTCAGGTTCATAGCCAGGGTCAAAGGTGGGTTCCTCCTCAGAGGTGCAGGGGTCACCCCCACTAGAGTCCTTGGGAAAAGAGAGGACAGTAGGAGCTATGGAATTAAAGCATGCCAGATCAGAGCCCTCAGGGCTCACTAGAAGGCAGCCCCACTGAACAAAGAGGTAAACAGGCACAAAGAAAGCACAGCACTTGCTCAGGGTCACCAGCATAGCCAGGGATGAGTCAGGATTCCAATCCAGGTCTCCCAGTGCTTGGAGAGATAAATGCTACACAGTAGGAGGCTCTGCAGTAGGACTGCCTGAGGCTATGGTGCTTAGGCAAACTGCAGTTACTCATTAGGGAAGTACTGGTCTAACCCCTGGGAAGATCCCACCTCATGCCCACCAGAACAGCTGGGACCAAAGAAAGACAGCAGGGCATGCCATGGGGAAACAGAGAAACGGGAACCCTCACACACTGCTGATGGGGTGTAAGATGGTGCCACGCCACTGGAAAACAGTGGGGCTGTTTCTCAAAAGGTTAAGCAATGAGCCAGCAATTCCACTCCTATGGCTATGCCCACAAGAAATGAAAGCATGTCCACAGAAAAAGACAAGCAATGGGCCAGGGATTTAGCTCGGTGGTGCAGCCGCCTGCCTCCCAAACAGAAGGTCCTGAGTTCGCAATACCCAGTACCAAAAAAAAAAAGACAAGTGGTCACAGCAGCATAGTCCATCACAGAGCACAAGTGGGAACAAACATGAGGAAGCAAAATGTCCCACGTCCACAAGATATGAAGGCTGAGTACTACTCAGCCTCAAGAAGGAGTAAAATAATTCACAACCTTGTGAACACACTTAACTATGCGCTTCTTAAATGGTTTCTTTTTTTTGAGACAGGGTCTCAGTATAGTCCAGGCTGGCCTTGAATTCACTATGTACCCTAGGCTGGTCTTGAACTTGGAGCGATCCTCCTCGCTCAGCCTCCCAAGCACTGGGATTACATAAATTTTTTTTTTTTTTTTTTTTTTTTGGTACCGGGGATTGAACTCGGGTCCTTGCGCTAGCGGGGCAGGCGGCGGAACCACTGAGCTAAATCCCCGGCCCTACATAAATTTTTTAAACTTTACTATAAACTTGAATTTTTATAAGTGAAATACATCTTTTTTATTAGTACATGGAATAAATACATTCCTCTTGGGGAGTTGAGAATTATAGCTTAATAAAGGAAAAAAGTGGTTTGCTCACAGAATTTTAGGAAAACAGTATAAAGTCCCCAGTGTGGGCCCCAGGACACAACAAAAGCCATAAACAGTGGCTGCTGTCATCACTGCTAGCTTGGGAGGGGGGACTCAGACAAATGGTGCCAGGGCTGTGGTGCTGGTGACAATCCATGAAGAAGGACAGGAGGGGGACAAAGCGTGTGAGCTGTGGAGGGAGCAATCCAGGGAGCAGCCGCAGGCTGATGGCAGCAGACGTCTCAGAAACCCACACCTTCCAGCAGCTGGAACCCCCAGGCTGCACTGTCCCTTCGCAGGCTGGCAGAGCGCTCCGCTTTCCTTAAATGAACATTTTCTTTCTTTCTTTTTTGGTACCAGGGATCAAACTCAGGACCTAGTGCGCAGGCGCTGGAACCACTGAGCTAAATCCCCGACCCCTTAAGTGAACATTTTCAACCCGCCTTATCCAGAAAAAGAAACAGAATTGAGAGGGGGCGAGGCTTCCAGCCAGGCTTACACACCCCCCAAGGCACATCTACTTCTGGGATTGGGGCCCTCAGTGCCGTAGGGGAGAAGCCTACCTTCTTGGAGAAGAGGATTTGGGTGCAATCTCCAGCCTCCTCCACAGGAGCCCAGTGCAGGAGGACGTCATTGTCCTGAGGGAAGTGGCCAGCGTCAGTGGGCTCCCCAAACCATCCCAAAGCTTTCCGATGCAATTTCCAAACTTCTGTAGTCTCCACTGTCTGCTTCGCAACGCCTCGTCCCTCATTGCAATTCCCACCCCAGCCTTCTAAGGTCCCAGCGCTACCCCCACAAGAATCCTACAGATAACTGCCTCAATCCTGCCGGGGGCCCGCCCCAGCCCTGCTCCCTCCAGGCCCACCTTCTCCACGACACGGATAACGCCCGCGATGAGGGAGTCCGCGTCCTGATGTTTCCGGGCGCTGGTGTGCAGGTACACGCCTCCCTTCTCAAACACCACCTGGGGGCGGGAACTAGTCAGGACCCGCCTACAGAGAAGTCGTGCAGGGATCGGAGCCAATAGAGGCGGGCTAGGGGAGGAGCTATTGTCAGGAGGCGGGGCCCAGGGATGTTCTCAGGGGAGATAGAGGCGTGACCGAGCCAAAGCCCCGCCCAGCGTTCTGAGGTGGGTGTGCATTCCAAAGGGGGCGGGGCTAAAAGACATCTCCCTCTGGACGATGGAGGGTGACAGCGCGTTTGTAGGGAAATGGTGTTTGCTAAGGTTCTGTTCCCAAAGCCCCCGCGCGACGTGAGGGAAAAGCAAACCACGGGATCAGGGTGTACCGTATAGACAGAAGCGAGGGAATGGGTTCTGAATACTTACTCTGTAGCAAGATCTCTCCATAGCCGCAGCCAAAGCACCACTGCCCCGGCCTCCTCCTTTTCCGGATCAACGTAGTGTCACATCCGGAAAAGATATTCCCCTTCGAGGTCAGAGAGTGGTAGAGCCCTTACCATTCTAGAGCAGGAGTGGGTAAAACCATCTTTCAGGACAGGGTAGTTGAATCTGAACAAGTGGTTCAAGTCACATGGCTCAGACTGTGTACAGTCGGCAAGCGAAAATGCGCAGGCGCAGTGCTTCTATTCTCCCCATGAAGTAAACAAGTGGGAGGGCCCAAAAATTCCACTCTTTGCCCCACCTCTCCCCGGAACGCCCACTTCTCCATACTGTATTCTGGCATCGAAGCCATAAAGGTGCCATTTTGTTCGAGGGCAGGGCCTTAGCAGGTCGGCAGAGGCCATGTTAATGCGGGGCAGTCTCATCTCTCTGCGGGGCGCGACAGGGAGGTGCTGGAAAAGAGAAGCACATAAAGGAAAAGAAGGTGAGAGGAACTATACCTCCCAAGAGGTGCTGAAGGTCCTGGAATAACGCGATGAAGCCGTCAGTGCCAAGGAAGCCACCTGGGTGAATTCCTGAGTAACCCGGGGCGGGGGGGGTGGGGGGGGTCTTAGCCGCCATTTTGAAGCTGGGCAAACCGAAGCAAGAAATGCCAATTGGATCTTTGCCATCCTTGGTGCTGAAAGCGGGGGTGGGGGTGCTAGGCTGGAGGGAAGGAGAGCCCGTATATATTATGGGCAGATGAAGTCGACTAGCTGCCATGTCGGGTGCGGGCACCTCTTTCTTCCCTTTCTCTGGAAGCTGATTATGCATAAGCGAAGTCAGGTCGTTTGCATTCGTTTATTGTGGTGCTGGGTAAGCATGCGTGCACAGTCATGTTTCTTGAGGGTGAATCGAATTGACCTAGGCTGGTTTCCGCTCACCCTTACGACATCTTTCTTATGGGCACAATGCTGTTGCTTTTGCCTCACTAGCCCAGCAGAAGCTTCTGTAGCCACTTTGGTCTCTGGCACCCTGGACCAGGGAGGTGGGATGGGCGGAATGCAGGAGGGGCAGGCAAACGGAACTGACGCAAGGCGCCGCCATGCCTTTTGAGGGCGGTGACGACGCCAGGCTGGCCATGCTGGCTACGGGCACGTGAGTGGAGGCGGCGTTGTGAACCACGGGGTGGGGAAGATTTGGCGGCCCTGAGGCCGAGAGGCGCTGGGAGGATGAGTAGCTTAGGGGAGGGGGACGGCCTACATAGACCAGAGGACAGAGGTTGTCCAGTGGCCCTTATCTGAGCGCAGACAAGGAGCCTTCCCCGGGAACGGTCGTGTCTGACCCGAGGCAAATCCCAGACAGCCTTGTCTTCTTCGTCCAGACCCCCTGAGATGCTTCCTTTGGCGGTGGGCCACGTCCCCGGGGCTGGGGGGAGGGGGTCACTCCCGGGGTTCTGGGGGCCGATCACCCGTCCAAAGGCGGGACTTCCGGTCCTAGCTCCCACCTGGGCGGGATTTCCTGTTTTCTTCCTGGAGCAGTGGGTCTACCCTGGACCCCGGGCGCGGTGGGGAGGTGTCTGCGCGGCGGAGCGGGGCCCCGACGCTCACCCGGCCTCCTGCATGATCGCGTTCTCCACGCCTGCGGGTGAGGGCTGCCTCCAGCTTGACGGCGGGAGGGGGGTCGCTGGCATCCCTCGCTTCTTGGGGGACTTTGCTCTGTTGTCACATCCTCCTGGCACCAGTTTCCCCACCTTTCTCCCCTCCTAAGGGCCCTGTCACCTCACCTCTGGCCCGCATGTAGGGGACAGGTCTCCCTAATGTTAAACTTCTGCATTGAGGTGGGGGCCCCCCCAGCCGACAGGACTTTCTCTCGAGGGGAGGAGTCCGGAGGCTCCGGCTCCCTGCTTCTCCACTGTTGAGTAACTGAGCCCACAGTCTGCAGGCTCTGGCAGGGAACTGCGTGTGACTCTTGCCTCCTCCTTTTTGTCCCTGCCTCTTCTGATGGGAGAATCACCACCCACTCAACCCCGATTTCCAGTGTTCCAGTGTTCAGGCCTGGGCTGCCCCGGTAGCCCTTTTTCCCTGTTCCCTTGGTGGCAGGAGGGCCTGGGACCCAGAGAAGTGAGAGCCCAGGCCCGCATGCCAGTCACCTCCCTGCTTGGTTTCCTTCTTGGAGGCCTGTGGGGGCCACGGGCACTGCCCAGTGCTGTGGGGTTTGGGGCTCAGGAAGAAGCAGTTCCAGCCCCACTCCCCCTTGTCTGGCTGAGTGCCTTCTGGCCAGTGTCTGAAGCTCTCTGAGCCCCTCCCATCTGGGTGGGATCATGAATCTCGCCTCTGAAGGCAGCAGGATAGCAGTGAGGATTAAGCGCAGGTTCTGACACCCAGCTGGGCCTGGGTTTCCGACTGTAAAGTGGGGTGACAACAGCTCCCCCCTCGGGGAGGTGGAGGGAGGATGAGAAGGCCGCTCATGCCCCAGGTCTGCCTTCCTCCCGAGGCCTGAGTGGTCCCTGAGTTCACAGCCCCCGAGGCGGGAAGTGAGGTGTCAGGGTGGGCCCTGCACAGGTGCTCCGGACTCAGTGAGGAATGGGAAGAAAGGCACAGAGAGAGTCAGGCAGCAGGCCCGGGTCACACAGCAGGTTGGAGTCAGGGCAGGAACCGAGCCCCTGGCCTCTTGCCCTTTCTCCCATTGTCACTCCTGTCCTGGGCACACAGATTCCTCCATTTGGGGAGTCCACAGTGTGACAGGAGGCAGGCAGTGAAACAGCTGCCACTATCTCTGGGGACGTGAGCTGGGATGGCGGGACCCCAGGCATTGCAAGGACTCCTGGGAGTGGTCTAGAGCCCAGGGGAGGCACCAGGACAGGCCTTCGGAAGTTTGGATGCTTCTTGGTGCATTTCCAGCACAGAGCAGCTCCCTGGCCATTTTTTGCCTTTATTCAACCCCTGCACTCGGTCCCCTCAGTCACAGACCCCAGTCCTGTCCCAAGGGGCGTGGGAATCGAGTGGCCCCGGGAGACTGGCTCCATCCACAGTTGGGGGAAGTCTCATCCACACTAGATGAGTGAAGGATTGGCAGCTTTATCCCAGGGGATCTGGCAAGGGCCAGGGTTGGATCAGAACCAAGACTTTGTGGGCCGTGTTCGAGCTGGGCTGGGCCGTCCCCAGAGATGCAGTGCCTGCCACACATGCAACTTCAAATGTCCCGGAAGACAGACGACACTCACTTTAGCCAGTGTAGCTAAAATGTGGTCCTTTCCACATGGAATCAGTGTTGTTGCCCAGATTGCTACTCACTCATTTCCCCTTCTACCTGTTTGTACTGTGTGCAAAACTACATAGCTCGGATGCCCAGGCACATGCTGAGGACATGGGACAGGCAGGGCCCAGAGGGGAGGAGGTGGGCCGAGGGGCGGGTGTCGGGTTTGGCAAGGAGCAGAAGCGGGAGTGAGTGACACCCAGGGCCGGGCCTCAGCCCCTCTCCTGCTCTGCCCACAGGGCGCGGATGGCGGCGGCGCGGCCCGAGGAGCTGTGGGAGGCCGTGGTGGGGGCCGCCGAGCGCTTCCGGGCCCAGACTGGCACTGAGCTGGTGCTGCTGACCGCTGCGCCACCGCCGCCGCCACGCCCGGGGCCCTGTGCCTATGCAGCCCATGGCCGCGGGGCCCTGGCCGAGGCTGCCCGCCGCTGCCTCCAGGACATTGCACAGGCCCACAGAGCTGCGGCGGCCGCCCGGCCTCCCAGGCCCCCGCCAGTGCCCAGCCCCGATCCCAGCCCGCCCCGACCAGCCCTTCCCAGGGAGGACGAGGAGGAGGAGGAGGAGGAGGAGGAGGACCAGCCGACAGAGACAGAGACCTCCGGGGAGCGGCTGGGTGGCAGCGATAACGGAGGTGAGAGGCCTGAGCAGGGCTGGCTGGGCAGCGGTGGGCTCCCTGCGGGGCAGGACTGCGCACTCGGCTTCGATGTCCCCCGGGTGCCTCCGTCCCCAGCCTGGCAGCCAGACAGGAGCGTTGGGCGGAGCTCAGGGCATGCTCAGGCCCCTGAGGGCTCCTGGTCTGGGTGGGAGGTGGCTTCCTGGCATCAGTCATGGGGACTTTGGGGACCAAGGTAGGGTTCAGGAGTCACTGGGCGTGTGGGCAGCAGCTGAGGACACCAAGGCCTTCGGAGGTGTTGGGACTGCAGATCCGTGGAGCAGGGAGGCTCAGAGACCAGGGAGCAGCTAGGTATTTGGGGGGAATTTGGAGATTGGAGACTTCCCAAAGCCTGAACACTAGGGCTTTGAGGATTGAGTAGGAGTTTGCAGTTGCCCTGATAAATAGGAGTTACTCATGTGTTTTTCTTACTGATGGTTGGTTGCCTCAGTGTTGTTGGAGAAAACTCCCAAAGCAGGAAGGGCACAGACTCTGGATTCAAATCCTGGTGCTACTCACTAGCTGAGGACCTTGGGCAAGTGACAGGACCCATAGTGGCCTTTGGGCCTCATTTGTCAAGTGGGACCACAGTGGTGCCCTACTTCTCCCCACTTCTGTGTGGAGTCCCAGTGTCCCAAGCAGACCTCCCAAAGTTCACAGCACCAGTTGTTTGCTCAGTGGGTGACAGGTGACAAGCTGGATTCTGCTAGTGACAAGCAGAAGAGGGGAAGGGCGTTTAAGGTGAGGGAATGAGAGCCGCAGAGGCTCCAGGAGGTGGTGGCAGTGCCTGGAGTTGGGGATGAGCAGCCGGGGCTGGGATGCCACTGCAGGGCTCTTCGTGATGGACGAGGACACCACCCTCCAGGACCTGCCCCCCTTCTGTGAGTCGGACCCCGAGAGCACAGATGGTGAGTGGCCCGGGCCGCCCACCCTGGGAGCTGGGCAAGGGTGAGGACAGAGCCTGAGCCCCTTCCCTCGCAGACGGTAGCCTGAGCGAAGATGCCCCTGCCGGCCCCCCGGCCTGTTCCATGCCCCCCGCCTCGGCCCTGCCCACGCAGCAGTACGCCAAGTCGCTGCCCGTGTCTGTGCCCGTCTGGGCCTTCAAGGAGAAGAGGACCGAGGCGAGGTCATCGGATGAGGAGAACGGACAGGTGAGGGGTGGGTGGGGAGGGGAGGAAGGAGGCCTAGGCTCTGGTGTCTCACCCCTGAGCCGATTTGTTTTGGGATTCATGGGAATTGAACCTAGTGCCTTGCGCATACTAGGCAGGTGTTCCACCCCTGAGCTCCATCCCAGCCCTATTTGTTTTTTAATTTTTGAGACAGAGTGGCTCAGGGTGGCCTCAAACTTGAGATCCTCCTGCCTCAGCCCCCCAAGTAGCTGGGACTTCAGACATGGACCGCCATGCCTGGTTTGTTAGCTGATTGAATCCTCCCCTTAACCTGGAGAGGCAAATGCTGGGTTCATCCTACAGCCTTAGGATGTGTCCCAGGCCTTGTGGGAAGGCCTCTCCTCTCTGGAAGTAGCTCCATTTGCTGAACATGTGCTCTGGGCAAGGCACAGGTATTTTTGCATCCCCTCCAGATGGGGAAACTGAGGCTCAGATCACCCTACACCTTCCTGGCCCCACCCTCGTGTCCTCTGCTCTGCCCACACAGTGCCCTATATGGAGTTCTTGGCCTGGCCTTGCTGCCCATCTCTGAAATTCCCTGAAGCAAAGGGGAAACCGAGCCACTGAGAGGACACATGACTTTCCAGAGTCTGGGCCTAAAAGGGGCAGAGCTGGTACTGGAACCCAGCATCCTTCAGAGGAGCTGTGGGCCTCGAAGGAGGAGGCCCAAGACCCCAGTGTCTCCCTCAAGCCTCAGTGTTGTTATTTGAAAATCAGCAATCAGGGCAGTGAAGGACCCAGGTGTGATGGTGCACACCTGTGATCCCAGCACTCAGGGGGCCGAGGCAGGAGGATCACTGTAAGTTTGAGGCCAGCCTGCACAACAGTGAGACCCTGTCTCAAAAAACGAAAACAGGGCCAGGGATTTAGCTCAGTGGTTCCACTGCCTGCCTCACAAGCGCAAGGTCCCGAGTTCGATAAAAAAAAAAAAACCAAAAGAATAAATACAAGGCCTGGAGATAATAGTTTAATCTGGAGGCCCTAGATTTAAAAAAAACAAAACAAAACGCGATTGCCCCACAGGCCAGGCCAGGCCGCTCCTGTTAACACAGCCAAGTGGACCTCAGGCCTCCTGAGCAAGGGGCCTGGGCTGCTCTCCTCGGGAGGAGGGGACTTTTCTGTGCCATGGAGCCACCTTTCCCAGCGGTCCCTGGGCCGTGATTTCATCTCAGCCCTCACAGGGCCTCTTCCCCGCCTGTTTTTCGGGAGAAGAGATGGAGCCCTAGGGAGGCAAAGTCTCCTCTTCCCAGCTACTTAGCGGCAGAGGTCTTGGGGGACATGAGAGGGCCCTGGGTGCGCACAGCTTTAGGGACAACAGAGCGACAGCACTTCCACTGCGGTGGGGCCCAGGCCAGTAACCCTGAGTCGGTGCGAGAAGGGCACAGCCGGCACAGGGCACAGCCGGCACAGGGCACAGCCGGCACAGGGCATCGCAGGGCGCGGGCGGGAGGTGGCGCGTTACGGGCACTGGGACACGGCGCGCCGCCAGCCTGACCCTACCATCGTGGTCTCCGCAGCCCTCCTCGCCCGACCTGGACCGCATCGCGGCGAGCATGCGCGCTCTGGTGCTGCGGGAGGCCGAGGATACCCAGGTGTTCGGGGACTTGCCGCGACCGCGGCTCAACACCAGCGACTTCCAGAAGCTGAAGCGGAAATACTGAGGCCCGGGTAGCCAGCTTCGTCCGGGCGCGGCCGCCCCGCCCCACACTACACCCCTGCCCCGCCCCCGAGTCCCGGCAATCCGGGCGGGCCTCCGGCTGGTCCACGGCCTCCAGCGCCAGGGGGCGAGATCTGTCCTGCCTGCCGTTTGGGTCTGTCGTCCTTTTCTCTACCTAGCGACAGATTCTTTAAGGGCACCGAGTCGCTTTCTGGACGGGGGCGTGGCTAGTTCTAAACCCTTAATGGGTCTACTCCGTCGTTTTTCTGCCTAGCGACAGTCTTTGCTCGCTCGGCATTAGCTCCATCCCTGAAAGGGTACAGCCAACCTCTTAGGATTGGGAAGTGGCCACGACTTTAGCCTAGGGACCGGGCAGCTCTCTCATTTGATAGGCTAGAATCCAGTAAAGGGGCTCAATGTCTAGGGGAGTTACCCTCAGCCCTTCCTAAATCCTCTTTGCTGATTGGCTACAGCCTCTTGGGGTGTGGTCAAGCGGACCGTCGCCTTTCCTGAATCCTCCCTCCTGATTGGCTGCAGCCTATTGGGGGCGTGGCGAAGCCCTCCGAATCAGGCTGTGGCCTTCAGTTTGCCGTTTTTTACACTACTGGGGCTGGGCTGGTAATTTTTTGGCTGAGTCCTGACAGTTGCACCCCTGGCCCCCTCAGGGATGGCTCAATCCTGTCCCTGCGTCCAACACCCCTCACTGGTTCCATCCCACAAGAGCCTGCCAATCGAAGCTGTCCTTTTCTCCAGGACGGTACCAGCTCCCGCCCCTCTCCCCCACCCCCACAGGTGCCTTAATGGGCCCTTGTCCACCCAAGGTGGGGGGCAGGGGGCTTCACTCTCCGGCCCTGGTGTGGGGGAGAGAGTGGGAGGATCGGGAGTTAGGAGGGGCGCTCTGAGATTAAAGAGTTTTATCTCTGATAAATGTGAGTTGTGGTTGTTCATTTTCTTACGCCAAACAGCATATTGATTTCTCAGTGCAAAGCTGAGAGCTGGAATTATTGTCTCCATTTTTGTTTTGTTTTTTGAGACAGGATCTCGCTGTGTAGTCCAGGCTGGCCTTGAACTCACTGCGAGATCGTTTTGCCTCAGCCTCCCGATTACTGGGATTACAGGCGTGCACCACCACGCCTGGCTCATGTCCCCGTTTTATAGATAAGAAAATGAAGGGTTCTTGGGGTCGGGAAGAATACTCTGGTCCTGTGTGACCGTGGAGGCCTAATCTTCAGGTGGATGAGTGTTGGAATCGTCCTTAAGGAATCATCCCTGGAGCCCAGGTTCTCCAGCAAAGAGGAACAGGTGGGACCTGGCTGCAAATTAGGACGAGACCAAAGTGGAATCGCCGTTTCTCGCCAGTCCACCACCGGATTTAAAAGGGCTTACTGACACCGTACACTTAGATAAGCTACATTTACACGTGTTCGCTCTGTTATCTCCCTGTTAACCCCACGAAGTGGAAATCGTTATGTCCCCTTTATAGATGAGAAAGCTGCCGCGTCGAGAGTAAAGCAAAAGAGCGATCTAGGTCTAAGGGGGCAGGCGGGGTTGGGTTTCCTCGGCTGAGCATGATCGTCTAATGGGACCCAAAGCTTCTCCCCAGTTGATGAAAAGAAGCAAAGTGGAAAGGACGGAGGATTCGCTTCGCCCCTACTGGCCTGAGCCTCCCATTGCAGCAAGAAGGATGAAAGCCATAAACGGCGGACCCTAGGTGCCCAGAGAGGAGAGGCGAGGTGGCTGCTGCGTGGGCAGAGCCAACGCCCCGCTTCCCTCCGTAGAACAAGTCACTTCTGTCCGCGAGGAGGGTCACGGGCAGGGCGCCCCGGGCAGGACTTTCCTAGCCATCAGAAGAGACTCCCTGGTGGGAGCGGCGGACGCAGCTGAGTGTGGGAGACAGCGGCGCTTGAAGCTCTCTGTCTTGCTCCCGGGAAGTAGGGACCCTCTCATTGGCTGAGAGCTGGAGTCGGCGTCGCCGCCTGGGAAACGGGTAACACCTCAGGCGGGAGAGGGGGCGGGATTTCCTGTAACCAGCCAGAGCGCCTTGTGGCTACGGCTCACATACCTATTTCCTCCCAAATCCAGATCATCACCCAGGATGGCGGAGGTAGAGGCCCAGGGTCACCTGTGGCTGGAGAGCCCTCCTGGGGGAGCGCCTCCTATCTTCCTTCCCTCGGACGGGCAAACCCTGGTCTTGGGCCGGGGACCCCTGACCCAGGTCACGGACCGGAAGTGCTCCAGGAACCAAGGTGAGTGGCGCCGGGGTCTGCTGCGGGAGCCGTAACGAAGCCCTTGGGGAAGGTGCAGTTATCCAGAAAGAGAATTGCGTGGTGCAGCCACTTCTGACGTTGAGAGGTGGCCTCTGGGCGGGGAGCACAGGAAGAAGGGTTGTACCTCACCTGAAACTAGCCAGGCCCTTTGGGGGATGGAGCCATTCCTGGGAGAATTGTCACTGAGCCGATGGGGATGCTCACAGGCCTTCTGCAGGCCCGAGACAGGCCACCACCCTCGTGAAGAGAGGGTCCTATGGAGGAAAGAAAATGTTAGGTAGGATGAATGGTACCAGGACAAGCCCAGGATCTGCATCTATCTGCCCTTTATCTAAGATGTCCCCATTCTGTAGATACAAGAATTCGCCGCGGGGCTGTAGACTTGGCTTCAGGATAGAGCCCTTCCCTAGCCTGCGGGAGGCCCTGGGTTCAACCACCAGCGCCCTGGACGGTGGGGGGAGTTTCCACCCTGTTCCCTAGGTAGGGATCCCTGTTGTCCAAGACCCAATTCCCATTTAGAAATACACTGCTTCCGGGTCCCTCTGGAGTAGATGCTGTGGCCCCATTTCGTGCCCTAAAGCTGGCCACAGCCTGTAGTAGTGAGGGAACCAATCACATAGAAATGCAAATCCTGACTTCACCCCCTCACTCCTCAGTGGAGCTGGTTGCAGACCCTGAGACTCGGACGGTAGCAGTGAAACAGGTATCAGGGCTTCAGCGAGGGGAAGGAAGGCCTGGGGGTGGGATGGGGGAGGAATCGCAGCCCAGCAGGGAACATTACGAATTAGGCTGTGTGCAGTGGCATACAACCTAGCCGGAAGGCTGAGGCAGGCAAATTCGAGGACAATTTAACAAGACACTATCAAAAATTTGTAAAGGTCTGGGGCTGAGCATGGTGGCACATATCCGTAATCGCACCGCAGAAGCTGACACAGGAGGAGCACCATGAATTCGAGGCCAGCCTGGGCTACATAGTGAGTTCAAGGCCAGCCTGAACTACATACTGGGACCCTATCTCAAAAAAAAAAGGGCCAGGGATGTAGCTCAGCAGCACAGCGCTTGCCTGGCAAGCTCAAGGTCCTGAGCTCAATCCCCAGTACCAAAAAAAAAAAGGCTGAGGATGTAGCTCAATGGTGGAGTACTTGCCTGTGAGCAAGGCTCTGGATTCAATCCCCAGTACTTGAAAAGAAACAAGAAACATCTGATTGGCTGAGCGAGAAAGCATGGCCTACTGCGGTAGGGGTTTCTATTGTCCCCTTTCTATTGGGCAAGCCTGGAAGCCTGTGGTCTTTGCAAATCCCTGATTGGTGGTACACAGTAAAGAGGAGGGGATTAAGGTTTCGACATTTGATTGGAGTAGGTTTCCATGAGGGTGGAGCTAGTCCCAGCTCCTTTTTTCTCTGCAGCTGGGCGTTAACCCTTCTACTGCTGGGACTCAGGAGCTGAAGCCCGGTTTGGAGGGCTCTCTAGGGGTGGGGGACACACTGTATTTGGTCAATGGCCTGCACCCACTGACCCTGCGCTGGGAAGAGACCCCTACACCAGGATCCCAGCCAGACATTCCACCTGGCACCCCTCTGGTGACTCCAGACAAGGAGAGGAAGGAGGAGGAGGAGGAGGATGCTGAGCCCCAGAAAAAGAGGATGCGGAAGTCATCTCCTGGCTGGGAGAACTTGGAGAAGCTGCTGGTGTTCGTAGCCCCTGGGGTGAAGCCCCGGGGCAAGGTGAGGGCCCCAATGAGGCACCGCCACAGACTGCAGATCCATTCTGACTTCTGGAAAGCACGCAGCTTAGTCCCTGGCAGGCAGGCAGCACCTGAAAAGGCTTTACTTCTGTTTTTATTTTTGTGGTTATGAACCTCTGAGGGGCCGGGGTGGGGCAATGTAAGATACTCATCCCCATTTTAAAGACGGGAAAAGTAGGGGCAGAGAGACGAAGCTGTGACAAGAATTAGTGAGGACTTGGGATCTGAGGCTGGAGGTGTCATGTGCTGTTCTACCCGTTTTCTTGTGACCCCAGGTGGCTGCCTTTGATCTGGATGGGACCCTAATCACCACCCGCTCTGGGAAGGTCTTCCCCACGGGCCCCAGTGACTGGAGGTGAGGAGGGGTGGGGTCAGGAGTGAGGGAAAGCTGGAGCTGCCCAGCCCCCTGGTTACCTGCCACTTCCACTGCCCTAGGATCTCATACCCAGAGGTTCCCAGGAGGCTCCAGCAGCTGGATACCCAGGGCTACAAGGTGTGTGTGTGTGTGTGTGTTGTGCACACAGAGGCCAGACTGTGCCAGGGCCCTGCTGACCAGGCCCAGGTGACACCGTGTGCTCCGCAGCTGGTGATCTTCACGAACCAGATGGCCATTGGCCGAGGGAAGCTGCGAGCAGAGGATTTCAAGGCCAAGGTGGAGGCTGTGGTAGAAAAGCTGGGGGTCCCCTTGCAGGTACAGCTGAGGGGCAGCTCCCAGGGACTGACTGACGGGGTGAGCGCTCAGAGAGCCCAGGACAGTGTGTGACCCGACCCCACGCACAGGTACTGGTGTCCACGCATGCGGGCCTGTGCCGGAAGCCGCTGACGGGCATGTGGGAGCATCTGCAGGAGCAGGTGAGCCCCTGTCCCCTTGACTCCATGCTTGGTCCCCACAGTGTGCAGCTAGGACATGCTAGATGTTGGCCCGCAAAGCCAGTGCTCTTAATCGCTGAAATCAGTGACTGAGGGAGAGAGCACTCACTCCTTCACTCATTTGTTCACTCCTTCACATGTGTGTGTGTTCTGAAGCCCACAAATACCTTGAGCTGGAAACAGCGCTCGCCCCGCAGTGCGCAGGCGCCACAAGCACGGCCGATCTAATCGTGCAGGCTGGCGTGTGACCTGGAGGGAGGCCAGGAAAAGCAGCGCGGTTCCAGCTCCAGCCGTCACGGACGGGGTCAGGGACGGCCTCTCCAGGGAGGAACCGTTTGAGTACAGGTCTTAAGGAGAGGGGGCTAGGTGCAATGACAGGTCGGAGGACCGAGGCAGGACTGAGTGTGCTGTGTCTGGGACCGAGGAGTCTGTGCTGGACCTGAGGGGCAGCATTGAGCTGCCTGCAGGGAACAGGCGCCCCCTGGCGGCCGCGTGGGAACGGGCCGGCGAAGGAGCCAGGCCTCGGGGCCAGGGGCCAACTGGGCAGGGCGAAGGTGAGGCGCTGGAAGGTGTGAGAATGGCCGGTGGTGGGGACGTGAAAGGTTCGAGACCAGCGGGCACAGAGCAGCAGCCTTGCCACCTGTGGGGCGGGCTTCTCACCCCCTCTCTCCTAGGCCAACGAGGGCATGCCCATCTCCCTCGGCGACAGCATCTTCGTGGGAGGTGAGCGCCGGTGGGCAGTGGTGGCGGGCTGGGACCCAGCTGAGTTGCCGGTGGATGAGGGGGGTCCTGGTGTGTTCCAGATGCCGCGGGCCGCCCGGCCAACTGGGCACCTGGGCGGAAGAAGAAAGACTTCTCTTGTGCCGACCGCCTGGTGAGCGCCATCCTGCCCGTCCCTCCCGCCGGTGTGACCCCGGCTGACCTGTCCCTCCCTCTGCCTGACCCCCTTCCCTGCAGTTTGCCCTCAACCTTGGCCTGCCCTTTGCCACGCCTGAAGAGTTCTTCCTCAAGTGGCCAGTGGCCCGATTCGAGCTCCCGGCTTTCGACCCGGTGAGGCCCGGGGGAGGTTGGGGGGGGGGGTCCCAGGGCAGGAGCGGGGTCTCAGGCCCCTTGTCACCCCCAGAGGACCGTCTCCCGCGCAGGGCCGCTCTGCCTACCCGAGACTAGCTCCCTGCTGAACTCAGACCCAGAAGTGGTCGTCGCCGTGGGATTCCCCGGGGGTGAGATGCCCTGGGCCCGCCCGCCCGTCCATGGCTGGTTCCCTCCGGGCTGTGAGCCCACTGACACCCGTGCCCCTCGCAGCCGGCAAGTCCACATTCCTCAAGGAGCACCTGGTGTCCGCCGGCTACGTGCACGTCAACAGGGTACATCTGCTGGTCTGCAGCGCCGGGCTCTGGGTGCGGCCTCTCCCTGGCCCCCGTCCGGTCCTGACCTCTCCCCATGCCCCAGGACACGCTGGGCTCGTGGCAGCGCTGCGTGAGCGCGTGTGAGGCGGCTCTGAAGCAGGGGAAACGGGTGGCCATCGACAACACAAACCCAGACGCTGCGAGCCGGGCCAGGTACGGGGGTGCCCTGGGAGGCCACCAGTAGGGCGGGCAGGGGCCCGGTGACTGCCAGCCGCTTCCTTGCCCCTCCAGGTACATCCAGTGCGCCAGAGACGCGGGTGCGCCCTGCCGCTGCTTCCTCTTTGCAGCCACACTGGAGCAGGCGCGCCACAACAACCGGGTGAGGTCCGGCCCCGCCCCTGACCGACTCCGCCCCCAGCACCGGCCCCGCCCCTGACCGACTCCCGCCCACCCCTGCAGTTCCGCGAGCTGACCGGTTCCTCTCACGCACCCGTGTCCGACGTGGTCATGTTCGGCTACAGGTGAGATCGCTGGCCGAGCAGGCGGGCCCTGGGCAGGCAGGGCTGGGCCTCCCTGCCCTCACTGCCCCCTCTGCCTCCAGGAAGCAGTTCGAGGCCCCGGCGCTCGCCGAAGGCTTCTCTGAGATCCTGAAGATCCCGTTCCGGCTGCAGTTGGAGCCGCCGTTGGAGAGGCTGTACCGCCAGTTCTCCGAGGGCTGAGCCGCAGCCCGGTCCCCGTCCCTGCCCCGTGCCCTACACAATAAATGCTGTTTTCTGCAAGCTTGGCCAGCATCTTGCTGGGAGGGAGGGAGGGAGGGAGGGAGGGAGGGCGGGCCTCTCAAGGGTGAGACGCAAGGCCGGAGCCAGGCTGAGCAAGGGGAGGCCTTGTTTGTTGCTCTGCAGATGGAGACTTTGGAGACACACCTGACAGAAAAGGGCACCAGGGCCGGCCCGACCTGGCCCTGCCCATCCGTCCCAACTGGGTCAGTCTGGATGCTTTAGCACATCCGGGCCTGCTTGTATCCTAACCACTCAGGCCCTGCCGAAGAGCTGCCGGCACCAAGTGGGCCCCTCCACAGCCAGCCGCCGCCATGGGGCCTACCCGAGCTTGGTTCCACACGGCCCATGAGGTCAAATGCCCAGGGTGCAGGTTCCATGACACGGCTAGAACCCGGGGTGACGGCCCACGGTGTGGCTGACGCAGCCCAGCTACGGAGGAAACCCGTCCCCACCGGCAACCTTTCTTACAGGGACTGCAGGAACAGGCAGCACCTCCACGTCTGGCGTCGGTGAGACACAGCTTCTTCCCACCACTTTCTGCTCGTCACAGTGGGGACAACCCCACCAGGTGACCTGGCAGCTCCACACTAAGCTGTTTTCCCTTTTTCCCTTCCAGCCTTGCTGACGATCCAGCAAACCAGCCCTGCCCACATGGGCCCCAAGCCGGCTGTAAACCCGTGATCCCAGACCTTCAGGGCTCCACCTCCCCACCACTGGCGCAGCAGCTGGGCAGTGAGCAAAGGTGGTAGGCAGATTTTTAAAACGCTTTATTGGGGAAATGGGTGGGGGCTGTCCTTGGAGACCTCAGGACACGGTCCTCCATGCTGCAAGGCAGTTGTCCCCAGGGGCCCCTGCTCAGAAGCATCTGACCTGGGGGCAGGGACAGAGTGGGAGGGACATGGGGGACCAGAGCACAGGGCCCCCGGGAACTGGGAAGGGCCCTCCTGGGCCAGACCTGGTTGTGCCGCCCCAAGACCCCCTTCCCTGCCCAGGCCACCCTGGACCATAGGGACTGCGGTGCCACTCTCTGGTGGTCCCAAGGCTGGGGTCACCCTGTTTCCCAACACCCCTGGCAGGTCTGAGGGTCCATCTGCACGCAGCAACAGGGTGGCCACTCACCAGTCTCGGCGGGGGCCTCCTCTGTGACTCCCAGAGGACCCGGCCAGGGGCCTCTAACCCCCCATCTGCAGAGGAAGTTGGGGAAGGGGTCAGCACGGGGGAGGCGGGCAGAATGGGACGGGGCGCTGGGGCAGGCCTCACCCCTCGCTGCTGCTGCTCCTGCTCCAGGTTCCGCTGCAGGACCTGCTGCTGGTTGGCTATGACACGCCGGATGCCATTGATGAAGCCGCTCTGGTCATGGGGGATGAGGCCGATGAAGATCTTCTTCTCGCAGGAGTAGAGGAGCATGAGTACGCGCACCTCGCAGGGGGCCGTGTGGGGGAAGTGCAGGCAGCCAGCCTGGGGGCACAGGGAGGTGTCACACAGGGCCTCCCACGGCCCCACTGCTGTCACAGCACCCGCTGGCCTGGCATGGCCCCGCAAGGAGGACGTGGACATAGGCTGAGAGTGACGGTGGCCCAAGAAGTAGTACCCACCAAGGCAGATACCAGCTCACACCGGAAGCCAGGCGTGGGCCAGCAGAGCAGATGGGAGATCTAAGCCCCACCTTCCTGCCAGGGGCAAGGGAGGCGACAATGCAGACACCAACACCACCATGAACACAGGTCTCAGGCGGGCTTGGGACTTGGAACAGTGACAGTGACACTGCTAGCCAGGGGCTCCCAATGATGGACCTCATGGATCCTGCACAAGGACCACCCTCCTGCCTTACAGAGGGAAAACTGAGGCCAAGAATGGAAGGGACTTGAAGGTTCCCAGAACAAGCCAGGGGCTGCAGTGCCCCGGCAGGGCTCCTGAGGGAGCTCTCTGGGGACCCCACACCCTCAGACCCACAACCTCCAGGGTGCCACATAGACTAACACAAAGGGGAATATGGTGCCTCAGGACAGGTGTCTTCCGGTGTGGCGAGCATCAGGACACCGGCGGATGTCGCCAGCGGAAGGTTCAGCAGCACAGATGGCCAGCCCTCCCCAGGTGGACGGGGGCACAAAGCCCGAGGACCAGATGGGCACCAGGTACTCGAGCGTGGGGAGCCTTTGGGAAGGGACGGCCTGGAACTGGGTTTCCCACGGGAGAACCCCAGGGCGGGGAGCCTGAGCCAGGCAGTGGGTGGGACAGGTCAGGGCAGGTGCACGGGGACTGAGCAGCCCCACCGAGCTGTGCACAAGTCCCAGTCTGCTTCCATCTGCACAGTGGGACTGGGACAGCCCTGCGCTCCGAGTCACCTGAATGCAGGCGCAGCAGCCTCCCACCCTCAGGGCCCACCCCGGGCACGTGGGCCTCCCTGAGGCCATGACACTCACAAAGCCGTTGTCCATGATCCGGCACAGGCTCTTCAGCGTCTCCAGGTCCTTGGTGAAGTGGAACTGCACAAGGCGTGAGTTCCGGAACAGCGGCACCAGGGTGGTCTGCGGGGAAGCCAACCGGCATCATGGACCCCTGGATCTTCACTCCTAACCCCCAACAGCTGTCAGCAGGGGACCCAGGCGCCTCAGGTCCCAGACCAAGGCACCGGGCACACCTGCCATCTCGCTGTCCTCTGCATCCTCAGCTCAGCAGACGCCCCATGAACCTGGGCAAATGGCCCACCTGCCCTGCTCTTCAGCCGGCCCAGGCCCACCCTCCATGTCTGCTCCAGCCATCCCTTCCCCACCTCTCATCCTAAGCCAACTTCAGTCCACAGGTACTCCCCGCAAGCCCCAAAGCTGGCCTGCAGGCCCTGCCAACCCTCTGCCTCTGCCCTGCCGGCCCCTCTGCCACGCACCAGCAGCTGCTGCGGGATGAGCTGCATGTACAGCTTCCTTGGCCACTGCTCGGTCCTCCTAGGGGACAGAGAACGACGTCAGGTGGGGCCCCTGCTAAGGCGCAGCCTCCAGCCCCAGCCCAACACTCACAGGATCTCCCCTTGGTTCACGTAGACGTGTGATGGTAGCCACCTCTTGGACCGACTATTGGGCTCAGGCCTGGGCTTTGGGGGACAGGAGGAGAGAGACCTCAGGAACAGGACACCATGGGCCAGCCACCCACACAGCCCACAGTCAATGGCATGCACTGGTCCCAGGTCCCCAGGCTGCCCAGGGCTCACCTCCTGCCATTCCATGACTCCGCTCCATGCCAAGAATTTGTTGTTGACAATCTGGACAGGCCCTGAGTGGACACCACCAGGTCCCACTGCCTGTGGGAGAGCGGCAGGTGGGCGATGCACCAGGAGGGCCCTGCTCACACCTGCTAGCTGCTCTCCCTCTGCCTCAGTCCCCGAGACAAGTCCCACCCGGCACACCAAGCCCACGGCCTGCTTCTACTGAGCTGGCAGCCATGTGACTCACGCATGGTCTGGGACACCCACCCCCACCGAAAGGCAGCACTGTTGATAATGAGGACACAGCCCGCTCCAGGAGGAGCAAGCTGGACCTGCTGCCCAGCCCCCCCACACACACACACACAGAGGCCACCTGCCCTCACTGAGAGCCCTGTGGGGACAGGCTCCTGCCACTCGCCCTGTTCCCTCACTCGGGCCAGGTTGCAGCTGGCTGACACACCTGCTTGCGGGTGGTGATGACCTGCCGGATGGCGTTGACAAAGCCACTCTGGTCATAGGGGATGAGGCCCATGAAGATCTTCTTCTTGGATGAGTAGAGGAGCATGAGCACTCGGACCTCGCAGGGGGAGATGTGGGGGAACAGCATGCAGCCAGCCTGTAGAGGACCAGTGGTCAGCACCCCGGGGCTGCTCCCCACCCATGCTGACCCATCTCCTGCCTGGCACTGAGGCCAATGGATGCAGCCCTCAAGGTCAAGACTATGGTCCAGGGCCAGGTGTGGTGGCACACGCCTGTAATCCCAGCACTCGGGAGGCTGAGACAGGATTGCTGTGAGTTCAAGAGCAGCCTGGGCTACATGGTGAGACCCTGTCTCAAAGAAACCAAAAAATAAAACAGAATAAGACCGGGGCTCCAGTGAGGGCCGCGGCTGTGATGTGTACCTCAGCAGCTCCCTCCCTGCAGGACCGGAGGGCCCCACCCTGCTTCTGACACTTCTGATGCCCCTCGGCGTCAGACAAAGGTGAGCTGGACCTGCCACCCTACTGGACACTGCTCTGCACTGCCACCTCAACTTGTGGCACTGGGGCCCCCACTCAGTCTGTGCTGGCCACGCTGCACCCCACAGGTGATCCAGGGTCAACAGCCCTGGCGTGACCAGGCCCGGAGGGAGCAGGGCCCGTCTGGATGGAGGGGTCTTGGCACGCACAGCATCTGTGGAGGTGGCGGCTGTATCTGGGAGGGGACCAGGTGAGCCGAGTCCTCTCGCATCCCATCCCCAGCACCCACCACCTTCCACAGCCCGACCTTTCTTCCCTCTCAAGGGCCAGGGATACTGCTGAGCCAGAGCAGAGAGGAGACAGCACAGGCCCAGGGGCCCAGTGCTCACTTCCTGAGCCACCTTCATCCAAATCCCAAAACCCCTGACGACTTCCCAGCCCATAAGCAGTTGCTACCGGCTAAAGTCATGGGTGTCTTGTTTTTCCTTATGTGGTACTAGGGATTGAACCAAGGACCTTGACACTAAGCTACATCCCTGTGTAACAAGGTCTCCCTACGTCACCCAGGCTGGATATGAACTTGCAATCCTCCTGCCTCAATCTCCTGCAGTGTTGGATATATACTTAAAGTCACAGCTTTACAAACTATACACAGACACTCCGTCTTCCCAGGAACCCTAGCAAGTAAGGCCTTCTGTAGCTCCATTTCATAGAGGAGGAAACTGAGCCCGCAACGAACTATTCTCCTGCCTTGCTCCTTTCCCCAGCCACACCCCTTTACCAGGGCCCTCCCCGGTGGTCACAGACAGGGGCCTTGGGGCAGCAGTGGCCTGAATTCCTTTCCTCTTGGCCTGCTGGGAAGCCCTCAAAGGGACCCTGAGTTTCGAACAGGCACTGAGCCGCCCACCCTGGGGACAAGGCTCCCCAGCCCCGCCCACTGGCCTCAGCCCAACTCACGAAGCCGTTGCCCATGACACGACAGAGCCCCTTGAGCGAGTCACAGTCTCTGTTGGTGAAGCGGAACTGTGCCAGCTGGGAGTTGCGGAACAGGGGGCCCAGCGTGGTCTGGGGGAAGAGGGGACACCTGGGTCACCATCAGGGCAAGGAGTGTTAGGAGTGCAGGATGGGTGGGCTGGGGCAGGTCTCACCAGCAGCTGCTGCGGGATCAGCTGCATGATCAACTTCTGTGGCCACTGGTCCGTCTCCCTGCGGGGAGGAGCAGGTCAGGGGGCTCCGGGTCCACCTCCCCCCACCTCGCCACACAGGACACTCACAGGTTCTCGCCCTGGTTCACGTAGGCCTGGCAGGGCAGGGTCCGCTTCAGCTTCACTGTGGAGTCAGAGTAGGGTCTGCGCTTCTGTGGGCAGAGGGGCGTCACAGGCACAGCCTCGGTGCCCAAGTGGCCCCAAGGACCCCAGCAGACCTGCTGCAGACTTGCTCACCTCCTGCCACTCCAGGACGCCACTCCAGGCAAGCAGCTTGTTGCTGAGCCGGTGCTCACTGACAGCCAGCCCCCCAAGGGAGAGCCCAGGGGAGGAGGGCCCAATGGGACCCAGGGCCCCGAAGACCCGAGCACCTTCCTACAGCAGACAAGGGAGAGGAAACAGGCTGGAGGACCCTCCAGGGGGCACTGTGCTCACATACTCCAGAGGGAATGCCCCAGTGTTCACAGGCCTCTCTGCAAACTCTCTGGGCCCTGTCCAAACCCATTGCCCCAGCGGTCAACACCCCCCAATGTCTTTCCTGCCACCTCCCAGGACCTTCTCTCTCGGCAACACTGTCCCTTCAGTCCTGATAGCCATCACCCTGTCCCCTCCACCTTCCTGGTATGGCAGACCGCACTCTGACTTCTTCTGTGGCCTCCTGAATTCCAGACCCAACTCAGAAGCCAGCAGCCTCAGGGAGTGACCTGCGCCCCGGGCCTCCACATCGTGCCCAAACCACCCCAGGCGGGGTGGTCTCACATGATGGTGGCCCTGTCCCTCCAACCCTTGTGGGGTGGCTCACTGCACTCAACAAAAAGTTCAAACTAGGGGCTGGGGATTTAGCTCAGTGGTTCCAGCACCTGCCTTGCAAGTGCAAGGTCCTGAGTTCAATCCCCAGTACCAAAAAAAAAAGTTCAAACTAGCCGGACATGGCAGCGCACAACTGTAATCCCAGCACTCAGGAGGCAGAGCAAGGAGGATCACCACAAGTTCGAGGCCAGCCTGGGTTACAAAATGAGTTCAGGGCCAGCCTGAACATAAAGCTAGACCCTCTCTCAAAACAAAAAAAGTTAAAATGTTCAAACTCCAGCCCTGGATTGGCCTCACTGATCCCAGGGAGGTGGCAACCAGACACCCATCAGGAACAGGGACTGGCTACTGTGGCTTTCTTCATGACAGCCCACCCTGCTTTCTTCAGGGTGTTCTTTTATTTTGCTTTTTCCTCGCTTTCTTGGCCCAAGCTCGCTCTACAAACCTAGTTTCTCCCTCACTCTTCATTTTTACTTTTTCAAAGAAATTTTGCCACTGCTTCAAAAAAAAAAAAAAAGAACAGGACTATCCAGAACGGGGCACTATACACCGCAAGAGCCCTCACACACCAACACACTACCAAAACCCCAGAATAGCCAAGCAGTAAAGCCTAGCAGTTACAGGTCCTATTTACAGAGCATACTCCTAGCTAGCATTTTTAAACCAGAGTCATCTCAAAGCAAACAAGAGAAGGTTTCAGAAAGAGCCTGGAAGAAATGCATGAAAAATCTCAGCAGTAGGTACCTCCAGACAGCAAAAAACTGAAAGCATAAGCGTGATTAACTTTAGTCTTCTTACTAGGGAGTATTTCCTCATTTTCTTACAAAGCACACAGAAGTCTTTGTTCCAGAATTATAACAAGTAGGGAAATTATTTTGTGGGGGCTCAAGAACAAAAACTTGAATAACCATGCTGTCCACCTGGACAGGTGATTGGGGCCAGACCCTTTTCGATCAAGATGAAAACCCACAAACACGTGGTGTAACAGTGTCTGACTTTCAGACAAGTGCTGACGCTGGAAGGCTGGGTATCTGAGCAAATGCAACTGTGCCCACTGGTGCCTTCTGGGACACAGTAGCGGTGTGCTTGGACTGGGCTATGTGGACTGCAAACGTGTTTTGTTACAGTACACGTGGCACACATGTATGTATTTACTGCCACGCACATGGGCTGAAATTAAGACCAGGACAGCACAGGGTCCAACATAAGCTGCAGTGACAACATGACAACATAAGCTCCAGTGACATCTTTGCTTGTCTGAGAGGAGATGTTGATCACTTAGGACCACAGGGGTGTTTGGGGCAGGTGCCACATACAGCATAGAAAACTGAGGGTACTGGCACAAACAGAAGGTGCATCTGCAGCAGGCTAAGGGCAACCCCAAAGGAAATCTTGCCAAAGACAAGTGTGTGCAGGGCCGGGGATTTAGTTCAGTGGTTCCACCGCCTGCTTCGAAAGCGTAAAAACCCGAGTTCGATCCCTGACACCAAAAAAAAAAAAAAAAGACAAGTGTGTGCAAAATTGTGCTGACTTGCTGCTTCCGGCACAGCGATGCTCAGTTAGTACTTGGAGGGAAGTTTAAAGCCTTCGGATGTGCAAGTCAGGACCTAAGAAGCAGTTCCGAACGATCAGATGGGACGCTTATGGCAGGGCAAGGGCGGTGGCGCGAGGTGAGTTTCGGAGGCGCTCATCAGAGGCTGAGCGTTTGTCCCAGATCTGTGGGATCCCATCTGAGGCTTGAGCGAGTCGCCTCAGCGCTCTGCCCTGGGCAAGGTCGGGGCAGTGGACAGACGACACAGACGAAGCGAGCCTGAGACCAAGCCCGGAGGCGGGGGGGAGGGTCTCACATCTGGGCAAACGTGTGCACGGCGGGACTGCGTGTGAAACGTCGCGATGTGCTTTCACCGCCCGAATTAAGCTTTTTCAGATTTTCGAAAAGTATGTGCGTGTCTCAGGTCTAGGGATGCGTGTGCAGCCTGATGCACCTACAAATCTGAATGTTTACTTTTAAGGTATGGGCTCAGTGCACTCCACATCTGGGCGTGAGCGCAAATTCTGGGTGCGCACGACAAAGGCACCGGAGAGAACGCCCCTGGGTGCAACATCTGGTAGCACGTGTGCAAAACATGGACACGCCACACACTCGCCGCTCCCCATTTCGCGCTCCCACCCCCCTCCTCCATTTCCCGATTTCCAGCCCAGAGAAGAGACCAACTTTCCATTTGGAAAAGCAAGCCCGTTCTCCTGCCCCCTACCCCGAGTTTAAATCGGGCCGCGAAGTCAGCAGTAATTGGAGCCCATCCCACCCCAGTACCCCACACCCCTCCGCGCCGGGCCCGAACGCATAACAAAGGGGAGAGCCTGGCGCGTACCGCCGGGAGTCTCCTGGGGGACCGGCCCGACACGACCACCCTTCGGGCCACTATGGAGACCCCAGAAAAAAGGGGACCGCGGACAAAGGCACGACCCAGGGGAGGGGCGGCGGGGGCGGGGCCGTGGAAGGCTCTGGAAGCAGGGAGGGGGCTCACCATGGGAGGGGCCGAGCGGGCCCGGATCCGCGGCGGCTGTGGGCCACGGGAGCTGGCGGGCCAGGAGCGCGAGCGCACGGCACGCACCACCAGCGGCCTCGGGGGCCGGCCGCGAGCCCCCAAGAGGCCCCCAGCGCCGGAGCGGTGTGGGGCGCGGCGCGGACGGACCATGGCGGGAGCGGGCAGAGCGGACTGGGGTCCGCGGCCTCCACAGACAGAGGGGCGCGGGCGCGCGGCTTCGTGGGAGACGGGCTGAGCCGTACCAATCGCGGGGACCGCGCCGCCAGCGGGGTCGCCGAGGCCAAACCACTGCGCAGAGCGGGGGGATCCGGCGCGTACCAACGGCGTACACGAGGGGGCGTGGCCGGAGCGTACCAACGGGGCGAAGGCGCCTCAGGAAAAGGGACGTGTGAAGGAAGAATGGCCAGGGGAAGACACTATGGGCCGCTCCTCCGTGGGGGAGGAGCTCCGAGGTCGTGCGACCCAGAAACAACTTCGGGGGGCGTGGTGAGCGAAAGAGCACACCAAAACGGGGGTGAAACCAGGCGATACCAAGTCAGACCCGAGACCGAAAGTCGCCGGGACGCGGAGGCAGGACCCTACACCAAAGACCACCCACAGGAAAGAGGGGAGGGCGGAATAATGGGTCTGGGGCTGAGAGGACCCTCCAAGAGACCTGGGGGTGTGGCTAGCATCACGCAGAGTTTAAAATTTGTAGGCGGTGACGTAGCTAGGTGATAGGAAACTACAACCCCCAGCGGGCTTTGCGCGCCCTGGGAGGGTCGGCTGTTCTAGGCGACCCCGCCCCTCAGCCGCGTGCCCATTGGTCACTGCGCTAATCCCCGCCCACCGCCCCTTACTCCACCTCCAAGCAGCTGGCCTCTCAGGTCTCCTCGCGGCGGTTCGCTTATTCTGTTTTTGCTCAACCAAAGTGACTGTAGTCATTTGTTAAAAGTGTAAGATTTCTGTTTCTCAAATGTGATAACATCCAACCTTAAGAGTGGTTGTGAGGCGCGAAAGGGAGTTTAATAAAATGTAAGAATCAGTGCTTGCTTGGCATAATTATTCATGTTAGCTCTCCTTTAAAAAAAAAAAAAATCGGGCCGAGGGTTTATCTCAGCGGTTCTGCCGCCTGCCTCGCAAGCGTAAGGACCCGCGTTCAAGCCCCGGTACCAAAAAAAAAAAATCAGGGGGCTGGGCGATTTAGCTCAGTAGTTCTGGCGCCTGCCTCGCAACCACAAGTTCCCGAGTTCGATCCCCAGTACCAAAAAAAATCATCCCAGGCCGGGGATTTAGCTCTGTGGCACCGCGCCTGCCTTGCAAGCGCAAGGTCCTGAGTTCGATCCCCGGTACCAAAAAAAATCCCATTAGGTCTGGGGGTGTAGCTCGGGGTCAGAGAGCTTGCCTCTCCTGCGAGAGGCACTAGGTTCCGTCCCGTACCGCAAAACACACAAAAATCCTATTAGTACCTGTCTGCTTTTGTGCTGGGCAGTGAGTATACTGCGATAATCAAATTACACCAGGTCCCTCTCCAAGCCTGAGTCTGTGATCATAGTTGGTGATCAGTATTAATTAAAACAGATCCAGGAGCCAGGGATTTAGCTCAGTGGTTTCGCTGCCTGCTGCGCAAGCCCAAGGATCCGAGTTCGATCCCCGGTACCGAAAAAAAAAAAACA